AGCCATACGCATTCATAGACTGGTGTTTAAACACCAGGTTACTATACTATACGTGTTTCCTTCCCATCAACGTTTAGTCCTTCTAAGTGGTTCCTTATCTTGACAGTTTCCGATTTAAACTTAAATTTTACATGTAGGTTTATATATATATTTATTATCACAGTCAATACACAAACGTATTTAAAATGTTGTTGTTAAAATTTTATATAACACTATAACATCTGTAGTATAAAATATTACAATAAGTTATATTATGTTATATTATGGCGCTTTTATCGTAGTATGATGTTACATTTATTATAATAATAAGCGCCATAATATAACATAATATAACTTATTGTAATATTTTATACTACAGATGTTATAGTGTTATATAAAATTTTAACAACAACATTTTAAATACGTTTGTGTATTGACTGTGATAATAAATATATATTTGGTTTCAACACAAACATGACGCACTTAAGCTACAAAATGTAGTTTTATATTTTACGTTCGTTCTACTTTCCCCGCCAATCTAATTATTGATCATCTCATGTTTCTGTTGTTCATAATTCTTACTTATAAATATTTTCCTCGAATCCCGGCACAGTTCCACAAATACGGACACTTGGGCCTACCTAGGCACAGTCTTTACGTTACTAAATATCTCTACTGTATTATAACCACAAGGTTCAAAATCACAATTAAAAATATCTACCATTCTGAGATAGTTCCGCTCACATTCTGCCTCTTAAACATCTTATCCATTTTAGTATTATCTTTCCACTTTGTTCTTGGAGTTCGAATCAACCGCTTCTAAATAAATCTCCCTCCACTAAATGTTTAATTATTTGTAGACAGTCTTCATCAATGTGTTTATTGTCGAACCTGTAATGATATTCTGTAATCTGATTAACCTCTAATACTTTCAGTAGTCTACAAGTTTGCCTCTTTCTGAATCTGTGAGTGACACTTCAGTACTTTAATCTTCCGCGAAATTTCAGTCTGTAAAAGATAGGTACCCTTGGAACATATAAATTAAAATAAAATACTAGACTATGGATTTTCTGACGGCCTACGTCTCTTAGACCTTGTTTCGTGACCCTCATTTCAGCATAGCCTATATAAATACACTGTGACACTCACTGATCAATGCAGTATCGACTCCTCCATCACTCGAGCGCTAGGAAGGAATTCTCGATTACTTATGCAGGCCACAATGTAGATCTATAATAATTGAGTTTCACAGTAGTTGTGGAAAGGCCATCTAATGCCCATTTGACCCTAGACAAATCTCTCGGCTTTGTACATTGGCTTCATCCCAGAAAATCACGTGGATGTTTCATCGGTATATTGATTATACACGGTTCTACTGGTGTTATTTATAGACCTGAACCTATACACAGAAAGCCTGCGGAAATTAGAACCGATGTCCACTCGTATTCCGTCGATAGGCTTAAAGTAAATTAGTCGCTGTGCGTCTCTCTCTGTCTCTGTGCATGACAGTGTTCATCGATGACGCCAAATCGCCAGATGTCACTGCATCCAAGTTGAAATACCCACTGCAGGCCTGCAATAGTTCGAAGTGCTGTCTGTAATGATTTCTGCCATAAAACAGCGGTGGAAATTTAACATCCGTGAATTATTTTTGTGATATAAGTTCACTAAGCTGAACATTTGATGTGGCCTTCAGGAAATAATCTGGCTGTAAATTGGAATTTTGCTCTAATCAGCACGCTAATCAACATCAAAATTATAACATTAGGGCTATAGCGTAGCACATTATTACGTTGCATGTTATAAAATTGGCATTACAAGGTTTTTTATAGTACGACATCAAATTGTAATTAACCTTACACACACAGGAATGGGATTCCTGATTTTGTAAAATATTTCAGCTTCCAAATGACTTTTTTTTTGTTTGTGTGTGTGAGTACACGCCCTTCATATCTGTGTGGACACAAAACAGGAACAAAGTGAAAATGTCTCTGACAAGTGGCAGCCATGTTTATTCCATAGTATTTCACGGAAAAGTATTTTAAGCTAGCCCTATGAAAATTTACGTAGATTTAGTTTTCACATTAAGCATAAAATTATAAATAGACCTATAATATCAGCTGAAATATTTCATTTATTTTAAAGCATTTTTTAATGTTATGGTTGCATATAGAAGGGGCCACATGTGGATATCTGAACCTTTTTACGTGGCCGTCACATAATTCATAAATTAGCCAATACGAGAAGGGCAGATATTTTCTGCTACTAAGGAGAATATTTATTTAAATATATACTCATTATCTAAGCGTAAGGACAAACAAACAAATAATACGTAGATGAAACCAAAATTTTGTATATGTAGCCTTGTAAAGTTAACATCGTGTTATTGTGAAAATTGTTACGTTATTCTGACGGTATGTCATTTAACAAATAATATAAAAATCACTGTGGAATTATGACTGAAGTTTTGTAAAATTGTCTCGTAATCAAAACCGACAGCTAAGAAACAGCGTGTTTAGAATAAATTTAGTTGTAAGGAGAAATAGTTAACCTACTAACAGTTTTGTAACAGCTGTAATCTTATAGCTGAAGAGATACAATTTCACTTAGTGTCAACTATATTATTTTTTCCTGCGGTCATCGACAAACATATGAGTAGCCAATGCGGCCCGCGGTAAAGAAAGGATTGCCGACCCGTGGCAATTGAAAACACGGCCGGTTACTCAGTAAAACTTTAGTGTTTAGACTTATATTAATTAAAAATTACTTTTCTTCAAACATGGTTAGTTCTGACATGTCACTGTAAATATTAAAACTCGGTCTACAGGCGTTTATTTTAAAATAAAACTAAGCACAGGGAGGCTAAATTAAGTTTCTTTGCCCTCATGGACAGTAACTTATTCTCGTACAAATGAAGCAAGTTCTTTTTTTTGTTTGTGTGTGTGAGTACACGCCCTTCATATCTGTGTGGACACAAAACAGGAACAAAGTGAAAATGTCTCTGACAAGTGGCAGCCATGTTTATTCCATAGTATTTCACGGAAAAGTATTTTAAGCTAGCCCTATGAAAATTTACGTAGATTTAGTTTTCACATTAAGCATAAAATTATAAATAGACCTATAATATCAGCTGAAATATTTCATTTATTTTAAAGCATTTTTTAATGTTATGGTTGCATATAGAAGGGGCCACATGTGGATATCTGAACCTTTTTACGTGGCCGTCACATAATTCATAAATTAGCCAATACGAGAAGGGCAGATATTTTCTGCTACTAAGGAGAATATTTATTTAAATATATACTCATTATCTAAGCGTAAGGACAAACAAACAAATAATACGTAGATGAAACCAAAATTTTGTATATGTAGCCTTGTAAAGTTAACATCGTGTTATTGTGAAAATTGTTACGTTATTCTGACGGTATGTCATTTAACAAATAATATAAAAATCACTGTGGAATTATGACTGAAGTTTTGTAAAATTGTCTCGTAATCAAAACCGACAGCTAAGAAACAGCGTGTTTAGAATAAATTTAGTTGTAAGGAGAAATAGTTAACCTACTAACAGTTTTGTAACAGCTGTAATCTTATAGCTGAAGAGATACAATTTCACTTAGTGTCAACTATATTATTTTTTCCTGCGGTCATCGACAAACATATGAGTAGCCAATGCGGCCCGCGGTAAAGAAAGGATTGCCGACCCGTGGCAATTGAAAACACGGCCGGTTACTCAGTAAAACTTTAGTGTTTAGACTTATATTAATTAAAAATTACTTTTCTTCAAACATGGTTAGTTCTGACATGTCACTGTAAATATTAAAACTCGGTCTACAGGCGTTTATTTTAAAATAAAACTAAGCACAGGGAGGCTAAATTAAGTTTCTTTGCCCTCATGGACAGTAACTTATTCTCGTACAAATGAAGCAAGTTCGTAAGCCTACGGGTAATTTTAAAATTTTTGAGAAAAATCTTGTTGACTGAAAATGGTAGGCCAATGCGCCATTCAATTCTTATAAGTTGAGAGATTATTTCTTTTACAATTATATTTAAATATGCCTACTATAAAAATTGTTTAATAATGCCTGTATTTTAATAACGCGATAGGCTTATAACACATTAAATTTATGATTGAAATAGTTTCACTAATCTCAATTTTAAGTTAATCCAAATAAAAGTAGTATTTTAAGCTGTGTTCATAAAATAGCTTAAGTAACAGGCTTTATATAGGAGAAATTGAACTCTAGAACACCAGTCGACAGACAAAAAGTGGGCCTAATAATAGACAGTTAGCTTCCGGGCTGTGACACTGTGTAGTCTTCTAGGTGGCTACCAAAACGTTTCGGCGAAACTTATCGCAACCATCTTCAGGGTTAAAGATGAGGCAACAGATTCCTACGAAACGCTGACTGCACGGCTTCACAACCCAGGAAATAGTTATCGACGTCTGTACCGCTGAGATAATCTCAGATAGGCGAATACCAGGCATGGATTTGTCATACGGCGCTGCTAAGGTTAAAATATTTTGATTATTTTAAGATCTGAGACATGTAACAACTTGGGACACGCCTATTACAATAGGCTTAGGTCCTATGTTTAACCAAAATCTCGATCTAATTCACTGGTCTCGTTTACAGCCATACACAACAAGACGAATTATTCTATAACTTAAGCACTCAAATAAATGAATTGAATTGAATTGAATTGAATTAGTAACTAATAACTAACTACGTGCAGAAATATTACAGCAAGTTAACGTAATAGGCCTATAATAGGTTATTCAAGACATATATTAGACCTGATGATGGCTGAATTACATGTAGTCGAAACATGTGGTGAATATCTATAATGTGACATTTCAGTGAAATTAGTGTAAGCTCTGTTAGCTTTTTGCCTGTAACCAAATTGACTGCTTTCACGGGGCCCGAGACATTTATTTGGGTTCGACAAATAATCAGCTGTTACAGCCCCAGTAATGGGCGTGAGCGTCGGTCGAGGTGACGGAGGGGCGTGTTGCCTACCTAGTGGCGATAGTGCGTCGGCGGCGTCCAGCTGCCTGTTTCGATTGCGACGGTCGTGTCGCGCCATAATGGCGGCGATGGAGAAATCGGTTGCGCAGGGTCGGAGCGTACAGTTCTCCTCCATGGTCTGTAACAACATGGAGAGCTAGACTCGAACCTCGGTAATTCACGATCAGGAACCACGTGGTTTCAGTTCTTCGGAACACGAGAGAGTCCTACACCCGCAGTTCCCAGCGCCGGCTTCCTGAACCGTCTGTCAACGCCCTGGCATGTCTTCGGCACAGCAGCTGGTGGGCTGTTTATCTTTTTCATGTCTCTTCCGGGGGGAATATCCAAACGTCTTAACAAGGTTTATTTTCTTTTTGAAATAATATTCTCCATTAGCTCGAGAAACTAATGATCACTGACTATCACCAGAACAAAAAGTTTTTCTCTGTTGATGGGTCGACGTCCGGTCGAAATGTCATCACCAGTGTCATTAAACTTCTCTGCAGAATGTGGTCGTTGTCGTACGACGTTGAACACTCACCAACGACACTCACACGGGAGCTGTTTCTGTACAGACACTACTTAACAAAACGACATTTCCACGTTTGAAGACACGTAAACGTTGATCTAATTCTTCTGAATCCCCTCCTCAGTTTTTCCTTTGGTCCGCCCAGAGTATCGGATGGGCACTCTCATCCATGGACCACCCAGCATTCAGGGAGGGGGCGTGGCACTAAGAACTCCCGCGGAGCTCACCCTGAAGAACACACTTGAGTACTGTCACGAAGACGATGGATTTTACCTGAATGCTGTCGTGTGGGTGGGCGATTGTCGGAGTCGGAGGGTGTGAATTATCTTGGCCACGGATGAAGATCGCGCGTCGTGAGTCTCATCTCTTGTCGCGAGGCGAGGATACCGTTTTAACAGCTGCTAGAGCGCCACTATACGGTCGACAACTGACAGTCGCCACCGCGAGGCGCTGCCATTTTTTTCAACTTGCTTCTGAGTGTTTGGAGGGAGCCAGAGAGGGGAGGAGGGGGGATAAGATCGAGTGGGAAACGTCTCGCTGACAGGCCCGAGCAACAATCCCCCGTCATGCAACACCACAACCTGGTGGAACGAGGCTGGAAGGGGAGTTTCGAAGATACCGGATTTTTTTTTTTTTTTTTATTCCGTCACCGGAGCGAAACGAGTGATGTACCGGAGTGGGGAAGGGAAAGGAGGGGTGGATAATGTGATGGGTGAGCGCGCACATGTTAAAAACGGATGTCGTGGTCAGGAGAAGAGAGAGGGGAAGACGTTAGTACCTTGAATTGTGTTCAGAATCTGGAGGCAGACCCACCTGCCGGCAGACGCCGGATCTACAATCTCTGGCTTTGTTAAAAGTGGATGATCGGAGAGGGAAATGGAATCAGGAATAACGTTCAAGGAAGGTAAATACAAATATTTTTAATATGAATAGGTTTTTATATCCATAGAAAGGTAAAGGGATTTAGGGAAAGGCTTTTTGATTTCAGATTTAGATAAGCCGATAGATATTTTGTTATTTCCAAGTCTTTGAAATATGCAATTTACCAAATACGAGTCGAATATTATTTGGAGTACAACCGAAGGCTGTACATAACATTTAGGATGTATTAAAAGTGGTCCACACGAAATTTTCATCGGGAAAAACTTCGATTTTCTTTAAAGGAGATAAATTTCTTTACAATTAGTTTCTTACTAAGAAAAACCTTTGTACAAAATTTCTTTCCGTAAGGATATTTTGTTCTTTTAAGCTAAATTATGCCTGATAATGGCGATGATTTCGATAGGCATAAATGATGATATGAACAAATAAAGTTATACCGAAGAACCTCGGTTAGATTCCTGCCTCATTATATTACGTCATAAAGACATGTGGTTATTAGAGACGATAACTCATCACATTCTTAATCTTGACACTAAATAGAGGTGAGTTGTTTCAGGCTTCGGCTGATTTACATGATCTCCGATACCCATTAATACGTCGAAAGTAATAATATTTTCTGTTACTCCTAGTAATCGATTCGAAGTCGTCAATTCCATAGCTAACCATGCTTAAAAAGCTAAATAATGGCGAGCCTAATTTTACTAGAGTAGTCATAAATAAAAATTTCGTGTGAATGCGGATATCAACATTATCTGTTGATAAACTTTTGATATATTTCTTAATTATAGAGTTCAGTACGTGAAGTACGTCTATTTTGTAAGCATTCCACGGACTGTGTTATATTAATTTGGATTTTGTTTTTAAAAAAATATAAACCTGCTACTTCTTATTTTCGTTGTCAAAAATTACAACTAATTTTTCTTTTCCTTTACAACAATTATCACTTATATTTTAATCCCTCTTTCTTCTAATTGTGGAAAATTATATAAATTTGAGACAATGTCAATGTCTTTTCCTCCCCTGAATCTGTCATCGCCTGGCCGCACGCTCTAGAGGGGTGGAGTCAAATGTTCTTAGCCCCGCCTTCTAGACTTGGGGTGGAGCCACTGTCCCATCACGTTGAGTTGTAATGCGTCGGCTATAATTTGAAGACACTGGCCTATTACGAGAAATCTCACCTAATAGGATTTTACAACTAAAATCTCTGATTTAAAAATGCCACACATGAGGCTATGACTTATAAATGACTAACTTTTAATAAAATAAAGCCGAAAGTACTCCTTTGCCAACCCTAGATATTTCTTTGGTTATCATTATGTAGTCACATATTATATTATACAAAGTTCAACATGCGTCAGTGTTTATAAGATACAGCAGCTATAAATTCAGCAAATAAGATGAGTCATTTGTATTTTCGTGTAAAATATGCCTTATGCTATTGCAAAATTAAACTTTCAGAGCCTGATAGTAATTGTGTACTACTTGTTTATCAATCAGTAATTCTGCGTTTTGAATAAAATGTATTTATCAGTTTAAAAATTCTCAAATTACACATTGTAATTTACTTCACAGCATAAATATTGGCATGTGCTGAATATTTCTCACTGTCTGAATTCTGCCTAGCCTATATTCCGTAGACTATGCCGTTGGCCTGTAAGCCTACAGCATTCCGTTAGTTTGCTCTGCCCATCGTCAGATGATCGACTGTCATTTTACTGACACGCCTATATTTTATTTAATTACATGAAGACTTGATAAGGATTGTCTCTCGGAACGTCGTTTGGCTAATCTAAGCTTAGAACAGTCAAATTGAAGCATCGCCCTGATGACGGAGGCAGTATGACCTCTGAAACGTTGGTAAACATCGACCAGACTACACAGCGCAACAACCCAGAAGACAGAAATCTTCATACTCATCGCCCTGATG